TTACATTTTAAAATATAACTTTAAAATATATTTCTCAGCAGACGTCATTTACAAAGCATCAATAATATCTCCTCCAGATAATCTAGTGTGTACAGCAGCTACAAGATAACAGATTTTATCTCTCTGTACTCTCCCCCAAAGACAGGTTTTGCTGCATATTTTAAAGACAAAGCTATTTATATGTGTGATTAAGTAAGAATACTGGTAGATCATCTCCAAGGTAATGAAAGGGCCAGGGACATAGCTCAGTGGTACAAGTGCCTGTCTGGCAAGCACAAGGTCCTGAGTTCAATTCCCAGTACCAAAAAAATTTATCACTTCATTGGGTAGATGAAGGCACCAAGAATATGTGGCTAGGAGAGTACCCTTATAAATTCCAGGGGGGAACTCAGGTTGAAGGGAGAAAACTTTTGAAAACCTCATCTAACTTGCCTACTATGACAAAGGAAAGAGAGATATAATTAATCAGAATTCAGGCTGCATTAACCAAAACAGTGTTTTATATCTTTATAGTTTGTCCTATACTTTTAAAATTTATACTCCTTACATAGTTTCAAAAATATTTTAATATATATGCTAATTTGTTTCAGTTATATTGCTAGTTTTTCTTAATTCATTGAAAAGAAAGTTTTGGCCCGGCGAGGTGGTGCACGCCTGTAATCCCAGCACTTGGGAGACTAAGACAGGAGGATCATTGTGGGAGACCAGCCTGGGCTACAAAGTGAGCTCAAGGCCAGCCTGGACTGCACAGTGAGACCCTGTCTCAAAAAGAGAAAAAAAGAAAAGAAAAGAAAAGAAAGTTTTGTGTCATTATATGCTTGTTTCTTTTTGTAAGAATCACTTTGGTTTATCTCTTATACTTTGAATAACTACTTTGAAGATAATGATACGCAATATATTAACTATTACTATTCTTTTATTATGTCTTATAACTTTGTTTTATTTTTTCATAAAGTAAGAAAGTAAAAAAAGCTGCATGTTTACATAATTAATAATTTAATTTAGCTGAGGTATTATAATGATCACACCTCGGCTCTGAAACTGCTAATTGGGATAATAGGAAATTACCTGTCTTCTCCCAAATGCCAGGGAAGTAAGTCAGGATGATTAATATGTAGCTGACTTTTCTAGCAAAGGAAAACAAGACAAGTCTCATTTGTGTACTTTCAGTATCACCCATTTCAGTGTAAAATGTATTCAGCTTGAGAAGATCAGTATGACTCAGTTAAATAACTGAATTACAAAATAAGACAAAAGGTAGTTCAAACCATGAGAACACAGATTGAAATTTGTCCTAAGGAAGGCTAAATTTACCCTTCATAATCAGGGCCAAATTCTGCACCGATAAGGAAACTGAAAAACATCCAGGGCATGGATTTAAATACATCTTGCTTCTCAGATTGCTTTGTAAGCACCATATAATACATATCGTGTTCTATAAGGTAAGATAAAATATAAATAATAAGTGCGTGCTTTGGCTGATATAATTCTTCACTCTTGAGGCATAAGATAGGCTATATTTTTGTATGTTTTTCCATTAGTCCTCTTGCTCACTTGTCTGATACTTGCTATTTTTTAAGTTTTTGAAAAATATTTGGAGCTATAAACATTAAACTTATTTCCTTTGCATGTCTGTACTTGGTTAGTGCAAATTCATTTCAATAGGCAAACTCAATGCTAGACTCTAGCATGACTTTCAATAATACACCACTGTTGGACTGCGATTTTTACAAGTACATATTGTCTGTTGATCTGCGCAGCAGCACGTGGGCACACTGCATTGTGGGGAGGGTGTACAAGTTTGAGGCTGATGTAACAGCCACTGCTTTGTTCTTGTGCATAATTTTTTGCTTTGCTGGCGTAACACTAAGCAGCTTAGTTTGAGAAAAGCAACCTGCACATTTATTTCTAATGGCCAGTCTAGGCCAGTCATAACTATGATACCTTTTAACTAGAATTTAAATAGTCTTTTGAAAACAGTGATTTTTCCTTGAGGTGCCAGGGATGGAACTCAGCGACCTGAGCATACCTGGCAAAGGCTATACTACTCAGCTACAGCCTTAGCACTTTTCTAAATTGCCTGATCTGGCTTTGAATTTGTGATATTCCTGCCTCTGCCTTCCAAGTAGCTGGCATTAGAGGTGTGCATACCATGTCTAATTTGAAATCATCGCTTTTTAAAGCTAATGTTTCCCAAGTGAAACATTCATACATTACGCTCCTAAATACTAGAAATAGGAATGCAAAAAATCATGATTAGAAAAGTGAACATGTAGCGCACTGAATAAGAAAAATCTTCCAGGGAAGCATGAAGTGCACTGCCCTGCGGAGAACAGTATGAAATATACTGAGACATCAAATAGCAAGATTTATCAAAAAATACCCAAAAAGAAATAGGCCCTGAACATAGTGGATGGCTACCCTTGGTGAAACTGATCTGACTGCATGAATTGCTCCATAATCTTGAAGTACAAAGACAAAATGTGTAAGAAAAAATTTACACATTTACTAGGGATGTTCTGCCTTATGACATTTATTCTATGAAGAAAGCCCATAGAAAGAGATGGACAGTACCAATTAACTACTCCGTTAACCTGTCTGGAACCTGAAAAAAACCCATCCACTTAGGAGTATATTTATATGGCTAAAAATAAATTATATCCATAGAATAACAAAAAAGAAAAAAAGAGATTCCACCAAAACCCCTACAGAAAACCAAAGTGATCTAACTGGAGATGTTCTGTGGGATACCGGAAACCCGAAGGAAGGGCAGGCATCAGGGCATGTCTTTGTGTGTGTGTGCACCTTACACATGGTTGCTTCTACCCAGTTCTCCCTGACACCATGACCAGGATAAACCGTTGAAAACCTCGCTTATTAAAAAAAAAGACTACATCAATGAATCTGCCTATCAGGATGGCGGGGCGTTTTCTGAACAGAATTCTCTATTTAAGAGGGATGTGAGTAATTACATCATAGTTTGTTTTAAGATTGCTGAAAGCAGTTTTTTCCAATGTTCGTAGAAGAATAAACAAACCTCACACACTTAGTCATAGGCATTGTCAAATACCTAGATGATAGCTGAAATGAAGATTCTAACTCATCTTTAAATTTTAGAAATAATTTATTAATGTTGGTAATCTTTACAATATTTCTTTTTTTTTTTTCTTTTTTTTTTGGTTTTTCTCCGGTACCAGGAACCGAACTCACAACCTTGGGCTTGCCAGGCAGGCGCTTTGCTGCTGAGCTAAATCCCCAGCCCTATCTTTACAATATTAAACATGTATCATAATGCTTATCAGAATTGCTACCAAGGCCTAGCATGAGTCCTAAATATATCTTCCACAAGACTTCCAAAATGTTTGAGAGATGTGGATGTTGTGGGGACATGGCAGGTCATGGATGGTCATTAGCTTTCCCATACCAGCAGTATACCTTTTATAAGGTTTCTCATGGAGATTATGGCTAAAATACACTTCACATGGAAACTGCCTCAGCATGTACATTTTATTATAAGCAATTCTTACATTTTATTGGTAGAAGATACACAATTTCCATTAAATTATATAAGGAAGATCTATACCATAAAAAGAGGAAATCTACAGCATCCTCTTGTTGGTAGTTTCCAAAGTGGCTCTTGTTTTAAACAAGCCAAGGTTCACAATGAAATAGAGCTCCTGAGCTGTTGGTAGCTTCTGAACTTTAACTTGTTTTTCTAATTGTGATGAAGAACTTAAACTCATATATCCCACAGTCAAAGCCCTATGTAACTGGGTGTGGTGGTGCACACTTGCAATCCCAGCACTTGGGAAGCTGAAACAGGTGGAGTGCCATGAGTTGGAGGCCAGCCTGGATTACACAGTGAGTTCAAGACCAGCCTGAACTACATAGAGACTCTGTTTCAAAAAACAAACAACAACAACAACAACAACAACAACAACAACAACAACAACAACAAAGGGCGGAAAGCTATATTCTGTCTGTACCCTTCCAGAAGAGAAGCATAATGCCCTAAGGGAACCAAATGGGTCATTTATTTCATCACCTCTGGCTCAGGTCATCTGCAGTAATGATTAAGAGTTCATTTTGAATAAAGAGATGTAAATATTTTATACTGTTTCTTTTATATATTCTTTTACATTTTATGTTCAGGATTTACAGCAAAAAGTAGGTTTTCTTTCTAGCTAAAATAACTTCTTTTATAGCCTTTCTCTTAAACTAGACTGGTTTTGGAACCAGTGATCTTGTTTGTTGTAAGCAGATGCTTCATATGGCATGACGGCTAAACATCTTGATACCTAGTAAGCACATTCTTAATGCCAACAAGACAGATGTAACTTAATTGATTTGTCCCTTTTCAGAATTCATTCTGATAAATAGTTGGGTACTCAACATGTATATCAAAGAAGTATATGGATGCTTTTGCAAACTGGTTTCAAAAACAAGTTCAGCTATTTGGAGCTGACAGAAATGCTATGTGAAATCTTTCCTTGGAAAAGCTGTCCTTTGGGATTTTTTTCTTTAAATCTTACAGTGAAGAGGGAAGATATATATGCATATGTGCAGGTATAGGTGGGTGCGTATGTTCAATTATTCAACCAGGGCTCTGTTAACACCATGCTTGAATTATTTATAGTTTCTTAACACAAACTCAAGGGGCTATTACAGTGGACCGACGGGATAACACATGCAAATGAGAAGAAAGTGGGTAAAAGAGGGAAGGAAAAAAAATTCTATTAACCATAAAAGGAAAAGGAGTAATTGGGAGAAATAAATTATTTGCTCCAGCTGTAGGTATTCTGGGACATAACGTTCACTATGCATCACTCTCCCCAAGTCGCTGAAAATCTGAAAATAGAACATCAGGGGAGACCTAACTTTCTATGAAGCAAGACCATTATTTTAAGTAAAAGTAAACAATCTATTTTCTTTAAATAAGAAGTTTGAAAAGGTTAGGGACTTTGTGTACACAGGCCAAGAATCTCCACAAACATACTTACTTTTTTCTCCTATGTTTTCTCCTGTTGCCTCCCCTTCCTCCTCCTCCTCCTCCTCCTCCTCCTCTTCCTCCACTTCTGGGGGTGGCACGTCATCCTGCGGGTCACAGGCACTAACTGGCGCATTCAGGCAGCAGTGGTTGAACCCGCTATCTCTTGGCAGAGTGAAGCTTCGAGGCTTGCCCCCATTGCCATTGAGCACTTGCATCCTCTCGCTCTCGGCTAAGGGGTACGGCCCGTAGTGATCCTGAAGGTGGCATTTCTGAGTGGGAAGGGTGGACTGCCGCCTGTGCTCAGGGGAGATGGCCACGGAGTCAGAGAAGACTGAATCCTCCAAGGGCAGAGTCTGAAGATAGTGTAAGCCCGAACTTGTCAGTGGCGTCTCAATTAAATCCTGCCAGGAGCGGCGCTGACTGGCTGTCTTGCGAATGGGGGACATGGCACAGCTCCCAGTTACTTCCTGGCGAAACTCTTCATGGGAAGACTGAGACTGAGAGGTCTCTGTGGAGGAAAGCCGGCTATGTTTTGCTTCCACATAGGGACTGGCGCAACTCATCTGTAGAAAAGAGCCTCTGATCAGTCTCCACAGAAATAACACATCATCACTTCTATCGTGGAGGAACACACTTACCTTCTGTCAGGGAACATTTAAGTGGATGGATTCTTACAAAGTCAAGCAACAACTAAACAGTTTTGAAGAGATCTCAAAGTTAGGCCCTAGCTTACATTTTAAAAGACAGACATGGATGTCTTGAATTGCAGCTATACCAGGCTCTTATGAAAAATCTGATGTATAATGCAAAGATTCACAGTAATAGAAGTCTGAGAAAATGTGAGGGCTTATAAGAAGAAATGCTCAGTAACTAAAAACAATTAGTTTAAAAAATCTCGACACAGTTTGAAGTCCTAAAGAAGAACTGTCTGAAGATTCCTATTTCTGGATTTTATGCAACTTGTATGTCAGAGCAGGGAGCGTGGTCTTTGGATATGAGAATAAATTGCCTATAAACAGACTAAACCATTCATTTTCATAGGTGAATATGTGCTTTTACGGGTACCACAGAAAACCTATCTTATGGTACTGTCAATTCTATGGCATTTTTTAGAGAGTTAAAAATGTAGACAGGATAAGATTGTATTTTATTGAGAGTTAACATGTGCCTTCCGTGTAGACACTGTTGGGTATATAAACACAAAAGAAAAAAATAATATTTTCAGCTGTAAAATTTAAAGTTTGAGAATGTATGTTATAACACAAGAAACAACCAAGGGCTTGCACCAAGAGAATGCTGTAAAACACTTGTAGTGCACCACCCATACTGGAGGCTAATAGGCTGGCCCAGGTCTCTTTCTGGCAGAAAGAGCCAGATTAGTTAAATACGATCATCACAAATGGGTCTGAAGTGGCAGCCAAGAAAAGCCTGGCTGAGATAAAGGAGCCTGCCACCCCCCTACTAAAGGAGGAGGAATTATTTGACATGTTCTGTGGGTGGTCCACTATTCCTCTGTATTTTAATAATAATGTGAATAGTTTTTCTTGAAATTCACAAGTTGCTATGTTTATGTGTATAGAGAAGCTCAGTGATGCTACAGTTTCCCTTTCTTCCTCTTTTATAAATATTTAAAAAGAAGCATTCAGCTCCTGATGTTTTTGGGAAAAAGGGAAAATACGAGTTACCCCCCTGCAGTAACAGAGACTAAAGTAGACTGACTGTTGTCAAATCCCAGCTCCCATTTCCTCTGTGGAACACTCAGTATCAAAATAAGCAGAATTGATTCTTACGGCAATACAACCATGGAGTATATTGCCTAAATTGCGCCACCGAGACACTCACAGTAATTCTGATGGGAAACAGACATAAAGCGGGATATTTCCAAACAAACCAAGATAGTTGTTTACTCTATTAAAGATCAAAATGCGTGTATATTTGTGTGTATGCCTGTGTGATACCGAGTAATTTACACATGTCTAAGAATTCTGGAGCATCATATAAACATATACATTAAACCAGACGCCATGGCTATTTATAAACTTACAGGTCTAAACAACTTCAATACTGACATAATATTAATTTTTTGGTGGTGCTAGGCATGGAACCCAGGGTCTTCTATGTGCTAGGCAAGTCCTCTACCCTTGAGCTATACTTCCAGAGCTATAATATTAATATTTACCAGTTGCTTGTAAAGGACATGGATTGAACTTCATTGGTGTGTAAAAGATAAGACAATTTATGTATCTTTTTCTAAGAAAACTTTTTTGTTGTTGACATCTCCATAAAGGCTACTCTGACAAAAATGGTGTTATTTTCATAAAAAAACTGGTCACATACTCCTTCTGCTGGAGTGTGTGGTGATTTTCTTTTCATTAAATATTCTACAAACATAAAAATATTTTCCTCACTGATTTTCAGCCTTCAATTATCTTCTCTAAGGAACCTGAGGTTTGACATATAATGCACCACATACTTTTTAAAAACATGTGTTTAAGGTTAAAGAATCTGCGATATTTTAAGTACACTTGTTAACTTACAGAAGGTGGCCGTGGGTATGTATCATAGGGAGGTGGAGGGCTGTCTTGTTTTGGTGTTGATGGAGTATCTGCTTCTTCCTTGTCACTCTCACTCCAGTAATCTGAAAATGCACACATGGAAAAATGATATTCTATTAAATGTTTTTAGCCATATTTTTAGGAACATATATTACCATTTAACAGAAAGAAATTTAAATTCTGCTCTTACGCTACACTCTGAAGCAGTCTCCTACTCACGGTCACTAACTTTCATTTTTAGCTAGGTTTTGAAGAGGAAGAAGAGCATAATCACTTACTTCCAACTTCTTTTTAAAGCAAGTGCTTATACACAAGCTAGATTTTATGGTGTTAAGAAAACTATGTTTTGGGGCTGGGGATTTAGCTCAGCGGCAAAGCGCCTGCCTGGCAAGCGCAAGGTCGTGAGTTCGGTTCCCGGTACCGGAGAAAAACCAAAA